TTTTTTTTTTTGTAATCCATGATTGAATTTTTTGTTTTTTCTTTTTTTGTAACCCATGATAGAGTTTTTTGTAATTCATGATTGAATTTTTTGTAATCCATGATCGAACTATTTTTTCTTTTTTTGTAATCCACGATTGAAATTTTTGTTTTTTTTGTTTGTTTTTTTTTGTAATCCATGATCGAATTTTATGTAATCCATGATCGAATTTTATGTAATCCATGATCGAATTTTATGTAATCCATGATTGAATTGTTTGAAAATTTGTGATTTTTTTTGTTTAATCCATGATCGAATTTTTTTTTATAATCCATGATAGAATTTTTTGAAAATTTGTGATTTTTTTTTTAAATCCATGATCGATTTTTTTGAAAATTTGTTTTTTTTTTTTTAATCTATATTATTCAAAAAGAAAACGAGAGAGATGATGATTCTGAGGCCACCCTATCCCAGCTATATTATTCACATATCGAGTCCCAACAGCAACAGTGTAGGGATGAGCACGAAATACTGTAAATTAAATGCTGAATGGCGGTTCATGCAGGGAAAGAACATATCAATATTCGCATATTCATTCAAAACATGAAAATTCTTAATGGAGTACCCTTATTTTTTATTGAATTCCTAAAAAACAATATTTATCATGAATTTTAATAATTTTTTCGAATTTTTTTTAAGCTTTATTATGACCGATTCACCCGATTCCCGATCCGGATAGCCGATTCGTCGATCCGGATCAGTTTTTTGGAAGCTCGATCCGGATCACCGATCCGTTTTTTAAACCATTGATGTGAACTATGGCATCTATGATATTTGTATTTTATTATATAATAATAATATTTATCGACCTTTGTATATTGCTTTATGTGACCTCACGTGAGCATTTATTGCAATATATTATTTAATTATATATACGATAGTAACCATTGTAAAGTGTGGGAGGAGTGGGGAACAATTTAAGTACTTTTTATTGTCAAAACAAAAATATAGTAATGTGTGGGAGGAATATTTTTGTGAGCCTCACGTGAGCATTTGTTGCTATAATTTTGGATATATATATATATATATATATATATGAAGAATGACTTCATGCAACGGTTGTATTGTAGTATAATGCAATCATCTTCAAAAACCATGTTAAAAACATTTGTTTGACACGAATTTTTAAATATACACTCTTTTCATTCCGAAGAACAACCACAAAAAAGAAAATTTTGAAAAAATGCTCTAGAAAGTTTTCATTCTAGCCCAATTAATGTAAGCCGTCCATTTTATTGAGATGGTTAGATATAGGCCTCAGAAGGATTTTTTTATTCCCAACATTTTTATATAGCGTTATCATCATTAGATTAATAATGCTAAAAAATAAAAGGTGATTTTGAACATGTTAAGGCCTAGATCGTGAAATTCACCAAATAGATGATCGACATTCAATGTTGGATAAATACTAATTTTGACCATATCTATGGTGAAAATTGAAATTTTTTTTCTTAGGATTGACTATGAGGATGAAGAGAATGTGTGTGCAAAATTTGGGGTCATACAAATGCTAAAAATACGGTGTTCTATAAATGTGGTTGCATTATACTACTATACAATCATTGCATTATATCATTTCCCTATATATTTCATGTAAAATATTTTTTTAATATTTTTTAAAGATTCACCTATTTTTGATGTACACATGCTCTAAATTTCAAGTGATTTTCATTTGTAGAAACAAATTAAAATTCAAACACTACTGGACATCCATGAGCATCAGATTGACCCAGATTCAATCTATACTGTTGGGCTAATTTTTTCCTGTGAGCTAGTGGGCTCACCCTAATATCTTTCATATATATATATATATATATATAGGGGAATAATTTCATGCAACGGTTGTATAGTAGTATAATGTAACCATCTTAAAAAACTATGTTAGAGACATTTGCTTGACACGAATTTTTAAGAGCAATGATCCAATGCAACGGTTGTTTTATAGTATAATGCAACGACACTTCTAGAAAACCATGTGTGTGATATTTGTATGACTCCAAATTTTACACACACACTCTCTTCATCTCAATAATCAATCCCCCCCAAAAAAAAGTTCAATTTGAACCATAGATATGGTCAAAATGAGTCCCCTCAAAAAACAAATCTAGACCATTCATTTTGTGAATTTCAAGATCTTAGTCGTTATAAACTCGAAATCATTTTTTTATTTTTTAACATTGTTTATCTAATGATAATAAAGCCATCCAAAAAAATTGGAAATGAAAAAATCTTTCTAAGGCCTAGATCTAAGCATCTCACCAAAATAAACGGCCTATGTTAATTGGGCTAAAAACATACTTTCTAGGTTGTGTTTTCAATTTTTTCTTTTTTTTTATTGTTCATTAGAATGAAAAGAGTGTATATTTCAAAATTTGGATCAAACAAATGGCCATAAGATGGTTTTTCAAGATTGTTGCATCATATTACGATACCACGGTTGCATGGAATCATTGCTCAATTTTT